AAAAAAAGGCAAGCTTACATATGACAAAAAGTTTCATTTCATATAGCAGAGTTCTGAGGCTGCGTGGACGTTGCCTTTTGTGAAAGAATTGGCTTGTGCAAAACTCTCTAAAGGAGGTTCCGTCCTTGTACCAGGAATTCCCTTATCTCTTTCCTGGAGCAGAGGCAGAAGCAAATTTACAGAACAGTCATGCCACTGTTTACCGTCTCTCCTAGCAATCTGCCTTGACAGAGCTTCCAGTCTCCTTCTCTGTCTTCCACAGTGCAGTATCTGAGCCAGGTGGGCTATTGGATGTACACAGGATGTACACAGGAGACACCTATGGTATTATTTTATATATATATTTTTAGATTTATTGATTTATGCACACAGAACTGGGGTACAGGCTAGAGGCATAGGGACAGTGAGAGGATTTGCCAGAGACAGAGCGGGGAACGGGACAGGCAGACTGACGAAGTACACTGCTGAGGGGATCAGCCGGCGGGTCAGGAGAGGTCTGCCTCGCCATGCGGTCACGCATGGGGCGAGGGATCGAACTCACACTGAAGCGGCTGTGGCTGAGCTCACTTGCAGTGCAGCACTTTAACCCACTGCGCCGCCAGGGAGGGCCCCCGCCCCATGGTATTATTTATTTTTTTCTCATATCAATCTGTCTGATACCTGTTTTATTATTTGTCTTTCTAGAACAACCCAGAAGGATAGTCTCTGCTGAGTTCCAAAAGCAACAGGCATCCTATTTTTACTTTTTGTTTGCTTTTCTTTTCCCTTTTTCCAGTTTATTGGGGCACTGTTGACATTTAACATTGCTTAAGTTGAAAGTATACAACTTAATCTTAAACTGTGCTTGATGTACTTCTGTATCACAACGTGATTACCTGGATAACAGCAACACCTGCCTTCTGGACATAACACCCCCGCACCCCCACCCCGGACTTCCTTCTGTACTGAAAGCACTGCTATTCACTCCCTCAGCTCCTCTCAGGTATTGGGCAACCTCCATCTGCACAGGGGGCCCTGCTCCTCTGAGAGCTGCCCTCTGCATACCTCGGCCACCCTTCCCCTACCCACCCCATCCCGAGCCCCTTGTAACCACCTTCTACTCCCTAAGGGCCACATATAAGAGAGACCATACATGCAACAGCCACTTCAAACCCACTTAGTGACTAGAAACAACACGAGTTTCTTCTCCGACTCTGAAATCAGGAGTCTGGAGTGGTGACACTGGCAGAAATCGGGGTGCAGGGGGCCGGGTCCCCAGGATGCTCAGAGGAGAGTGCTTCCTTCCTCTCCCAGCTTCTAGGGGGCACACACACTGCTTGGCCTCACTGTTCCATCCCCAGTGGCCACAGCCTGGCTGAGTCCTCCAGCTGCCCTGTCCGGGTCTCCTTCCCCAGCTCACTCGTCACTTCTTGAGGTCCTGTGACTACAGTAATCCAGAACACCTCCCATCTCCAGGTGCGCTGATTAGCCACCTAGACGCCACCTGCAGCCCCCATTCCCCTTTGCCAGGGAACAGAACATACAGGCCCCTGGGATTACGTGTTCAGCTTCATAGTGTAGGGATTACTCTGCACAACACATACGGTACAACTTACCTACATACACCTCATCTAGGTAGAAAATACACCTGTGGTGAGGGATGCAGATGGGTCCCGAGGTTCGAAGCTGGTGGGGTGTCAGGCTGGCCTGCTCAGGTCTCCTGCCTTCATTCTAAGGCTTCTTGGTTAAGTGTCAGCAGAGCAGCGGCTACAGCAGTTTCTTTCTTTCTTGGCTCGGTTTGATTTCTGTTCCCAAAAAGCATTCTTGTTTGGAAGACCAGGTGAGAGAGAATCTGTATAGGTGACGAAGAACACTCTGCAGAGTGTCCAGAGGATTTTTATATGCTTGGAAGAGCGATGACATTACTAAGCTGTGTGAGGGTTGAGTCAATCACATGCTATCCCTGGGCCCCACCCTATAGCTTCTCGACTGCCTGTCCCTGGACTCCCTGGCTGTGGCTTAACACAGGGAAGGTAGCTCTTCTGTCCGGGGGTGCTGACTGGCCTCCCGCTTTCATCCAGTGTCCCTGGGCCCCTGCTGGATGGATTCCTGTGGTCAGTCTCCACCAAGACCTCACACAGGGGCCCTTTCCAGTCGTATCTTTCGGTGTCAGCATAAAGGTCAGCTCTCTCAGACCCAGAGAAATATCCTGACACCAAGAGGCAGATGGCACAGGGTGTTCTTGAAGAGGTGGTTTCTAAGTAAATAGTTATGAAAGCCCCCTGCTAGAAGACCCCAGATGCTGGAACTACTAATCCCATCAATACCAAGGAGAAGCAACTGGGACGTGTGAGGGCATAACTGAGCAGCCAGGTTGGGATAAAACGGACATCTGGGCTCTGGGGGTCTCTTGGCCTGGTGGTTCGCGGCTGGTCATTTTGGCTCTGATCAGTTTTCAACGTGCTGGTGGAGTCCAAGTCAGCAAAACTGGTAGACATTCTAGTTAACTTGTATTTCTCTCCCTCTTTCCCTGGGTTGCTTCCTTTACCTTTCTCCTTGTAAATAAATCTATTGTTGAACCTTTTTGCATGTGTCCATAATACAATTGAATCTTAAGCGCGTGGGTCGTTGGGTCGACCAGTAATTCCACCCCTCCCCCTTTCTTTGTGTCTGTGTGACACCTCCCTAAGCCCAGACAGATATGCACACAGATACCACACCCTAGCATTAACTCCTTGGACACGTCGAAATTGGATTCTGTTATCAGCTCCTGAGACATCTTTTCCTGGAAACACGCCCTTGTGTGACACAAGCTATGCAATGTCTATCGTCTGACAGATTCTGGGTAGATCGGGAAAAGCTCTGAAAAAATCAGACTTTCCACTGCTAACTTATGTTATGACCTCCCTTTCTTGTATA